GCCTAAACCCAGTGCCTAAACCCAACGCCTGCCTAAACCCAGTGCCTAAACCCAACGCCTGCCTAAACCCAGTGCCTAAACCCAACGCCTGCCTAAACCCAACGCCTGCCTAAACCCAGTGCCTAAACCCAACGCCTGCCTAAACCCAGTGCCTAAACCCAAAAACTATTGTCTAAATTGCATATTCCTCAACAGTTCTTGTGCTGATACCTCTAGTTGACAACATGCTACTATTTTCGGAAGGCTAGCTATAATATTGCGCAGTTGCACGTGATGCAACGCTGTCAGAGCCGACAGACTCGAGTGTGTCATGTCAGTGCAAAATAATTAGGTCAAAAACGATTTTATATACGGCTAATAGCCTACTAGTTTTGATGTAGTCACAGGTAGTTAAACACATGGGATTGAAACTCCTTCTCCAATCTTTATTGCGATATTCCAATTTTGTGTGTATGTTAAACTCCCAACTTTGGATTGGAACATATCTAACGCCATGCTGTCGATCATTATGTCTTCATATAGAAATGGCTGAACATCATGATGTCCCGAAGCTGCTGGTCATGGCCCGAGACCTGGTGCACAAGGTCCAGATCCTGATTGAGAACAAGTGAACAACTTTCTTCTCATTCTGCCTACCATCATCCATCTTTTTGGCCATTATGAGAAAACCAAACCCTCAGCTACAGTAAATGCCATACCAGCGTTTTCATCTGCCCTGATTTTATCAATATAAAGAGTATAAATATTGAAATAGGAAGGTGTGGCGGGATATATCAGTGTTTTTTAAAAACTCAATAGCCCATATGAATGGAAAAAAATTTAGTGTAAGCTGAAAAACTTTTTAATGGCCTATACATAAAGTTTATTTAGTCAGATTAGCACTAACATGTCATTGGACTCAAAGCTAAAGACATAAACTACTATATATTTTGATTTTATGGGGTCTGTAAAAGTAAATATGACTTGAATATATCAGAGATTAAGATAGATATTATTTCAAAAGAAAAAAAATGTAGGATGATACTTGGAGAATAGTTTTATACAAACTTGTGGATATAAACAAATGGCTACTGAAATATATCAATATGATTATGAATGGCAGTGATGTGTGACTCGATGACTCAGATTTTCCAAAAGCACAAAGTATTAAAAACGATGCTGTATATTTATTTATTTTTTAAATGTGTGAAAATTAGACACTCATTATTGCAGACATGTTTAGCGTACTTCACACATCACGACACGATATTTGCACGGAAAAATTGACGGCACCTTCTGTCAGGTTTATGGGGATGAACGTGAATTATTGTCATTTTCAGCAGGGTGAAAATAAGCTCATATTTGACCTCTAAATACAAAGAAAAAAAGAGGAAATTAAATTTCCATTCTACATTTAGGAGCATTAGGATTATTGTATATTTGCAACAAAAAAATAGTAAATCATTATTGTAATAGATTGTTATTTAAATTAGCAAAAAGGCTGTATGATCTTGATGTATAAATCTAAATCATAATTCTTTATATAGTCACATTACAGTAATGAAAAAGAAATTATACAGGGATGAACCGATATGAAAATTTTGGCCGATACCGATAATTCTTTATATTTGAAAGCCGATAACCGATATATTTGCCGATAAATCTAAATCCAAAGTTTTATATCAGCCTGATTACCAAAATAAAAGTCTCACCATTAATATCATGTCCCAATCACACAATTATGACGTTCTCATTATAATTTTATGTAGACTTGTGCTGCACATGTTGCACTATATTTTCCTTTTTTGAAGTATATATTCCAATCATATTTTAATCCATTCAAACCCATCATGTTGAACAGTGTGCATCTGAAGTGTCTCAGCCGAAGGAAATAATACATTATTTATCGGCCAAATTTTCTTATCGGAAAGAAATTATAACATTAAAAATTAACATATATCGCCCGATACCGGATATGATAGCCGATATATCGTGCATCCCTAAAATTATACCATAAACACAAAGCAAAAAACTAATAAATTAAATATGCATTCTTTCAAGAGCATTAAGATTTTTGCCTATTTACGAAACTATAGTAAATCATTAATTTAATCTTTTTATTTTTTATTTTGAGCAAGCCAAAAATGCTGATCTAAATCATAAATGTATATTGCAGTAATTTATTTTGACAGTAAAATGGTCTTAAAAATAGGCTGAATTTGTTTTATGCAAAAAAAACAAAAACAAACATATATATTTATTTTGATTTTGGGGTAAAATGTGATCAACGTTCACTCATTTAGCATTCTTCACTCATTCTTCGTCACTCAGATAATCAGTTGTGCTGCTACACAATGACGAGCCTCACTCAGTGAACCAACTTTACTGTAAAAACAACAGATATTTTCATTTATATTGATCTTTTTGCCTTAAGTTTCTCTGTTCAGGGACGTGAGTGGTGGGCGCTTGTCATGAAGTTCATGTTTATCTGAGACACTATATTCCATATAGATGTGTGCGCGCGCGTGTGTGTGTGTGTGTGTGTGTGTACAGATGTGCTCAACTACCAGCAGCCAAACTTTTTGTAAGGTGTCCCAAACACTTGTTAGATTTGATGTGATTGTAGTAACCTGCTAAAACACGTGTAATCCAGAGTGATTGGATGAAGTGCCAGTGTCATCAACACTAATTCCCCTCCATCATATGCTCTCTTTATCATCCATCTCTGTATGCATTACCGTTTAATGCCCTGTAACATTAGCTTACATTGAATGATGCTGTATGTAGCTCACAAAATAACAATATCTACAAATGTTGGACGTGTGAATTGTAAAAACTTCAACTGATCAATGTATTTGGCTCACAGCCTCAGTGACACGAACTACAGACAACATTAGTCACTAAAAGATTTGTTGAAATTGTATTGGAAACCTATATATTTTTATTGTACTCTGTGAAACTATATCGTATATTGTCAGAACGGCGTGCTGCATATGATATAATCTGTATTATAATATTTAATAAATGTATGTGTTGACTGTTTTTCCTGATGGATCATTCTTAACGCGGGTGGGAAAATATAAACATACTACATAAGTGCCTTTTGTACAGACAATATTAAAAACACTTACAATATACAACATGATGAAATGATGAGCATGATACAAATGAAATACTAAAGCAATACATCACAAAAAAAAATTAACCATTTTTATTTACTTATTTTTCTGAAGAATGAAATGGTTCTACTTTTTCAGTAAATATTGACCTTCAACACTTTCCCACTTTTATTAAATATTTTTCTATTTTATTTATTTATTTTTCGGAAGAATTAAATTGTTCTACTTCAGTATATATTTACCTTCAGCACTTACCTATTTGTAATAACTATATTGTTTAATTTTTTATTTTTCAGAAGAATTAAATTGTTATATTTCTTCAGTAAACACTGACCGTTAGCACTTTCCTATTTTAATTAACTATATTCCATTTTACTTATTGTTTTTTTCTGATTAATTAAATTGTTCTACTTCCAGTAAATATTTACGTTCCTATTTTAAATTACCCATTTTTAATAACATTATTATTATTATTTGTTTTGTATTTTTCTGAAGAATTAAATTGTTCCACGTCTTCAGTAAATATGGACCTTCAGCAATTTCATATTTTATTAACTATTTTGAAGTTTTAAAAGATGACTCATTCTGTTATTGATTAGCAGGAAAAAAAGTGTGAAACTCCAATATTTAATATGTAATATTTCATCATATTATATATATATATATATATATATATATTTTTTTTTTTTTTTTTTTTTTTTTTCAAACATTAAATCAACTATCTTTTTTTTTTAGTTCTTCAAACTGTGTTTTATATTTTGGTGTAGTTTTAAATTCATTATATGATTGCAAATCAACATTTTAATGCAGCTGCCTAACAATTTTTTTTTAAATAAATCTTTATTAAATTTTAATGATACAAACAGTAAGACACACAAATAGAGTTATTAATACAGAAAACACAATATTATAAAAGAGCAGAGCAAATATTAAACACATTAAAGATAGAGCATAACTGAATGGTTTTAGTAGCCTTCTTATTTTTTGACTCATAGATGGATTTGATGTACTGTTCCGCCTCCTTACCAAAAGCAATAAAGGAAGGTTTAGAATTACTAAATTTGAATTTGTGAACATGATATTTCCCTAAAATGATCAATAGATTAATTGGGTATATTTCTTTCTGTTTTTTTTTTTTAACTTTGTCAACATGGAGACCAAACAGCACACAATCAGCGATAAGTAAGTTTAACAGTACTTGTATCGGTACAGATCTTTCCAGAAACCGATGGTGTAGGGACATTGACAGATAGGTGCGCCATTGTTTCTGGACATACTCCACACAACAGTTAACACATCTCAAGCTTTTTTTTATTTAAATTTTTTTATTTTTTTATTAACAACCACATGAAATACAAAGAACAGAGCAAACACCAGAGGGGAAAAAGAAAAGAAAAAATGAACAATAGTACAAATAATGCAAGAGAGGATAATCACATACATAAAGGAGATACAAACAATGGCACTTTAAAATAATAAAATGTTACACAATTTTAGAAGGGGATTTTAAAGAAAGCACAAGAAGACAATGTTTTCCTAGCTTTGGAATTCTCAGAAGTAGAAAGCGTTTGGAGGTATTGGTGAAATTCGATAAGAATGACTTTGAATAATGGCTTATGATTGGAGAATTTACACTTATGAATATGAAATTTTGCTAGGACGAGTAATAGATTTATAAAGTAAGATTCTTTCTCATATTTTTCTTCATATTAATAAAACCAAATAAAACATACTTCCAATATAAAGAAAAATGAGGGTATACAAAATCAATAATATACCTACAAAAGCTCTTCTAAAACAATTTGGTATAATTACACTCCCAAAATAAGTGTACAGTAGTTTGAAATCAACCGAGTCTCGTTTTGTACTTGAAGACTTTTATTACGCGGGGCTGGAATGACGTCATCGCCGCGCGCCACCACGTGGTATCGTTCGGCAAAGTCAAGAGAGATTGCGGAATAAACAGCGAGATCTCCTCTGACAGACGACATTGAACCCGTGAAGCGTGTCGTCTCACTGGGATAAGAAGATGAACAGTGTCGGCGAGGGCTGCACGGAGCTCAAGCGCGAGTATGATCAGTGTTTTAACCGCTGGTTTGCCGAGAAATTCCTAAAAGGAGACCGCAGCGCAGATCCATGCAGCGAGCTATTCCACAAATACCACACGTGTGTTCAGGTACATATACGTGCATGTGAACAGTTATGTATGTGATTGTAAATCAGCCCTCGGAAGTGAGAAAACACTTGCGACTGTGTCTCAAAACCTAGTGAGCTTCCTGTAAATCAGCTGTCAATCACTGATGCTCTGGTGTGTGTGTGTGTTTACAGAAAGCCATCAAGGAGAAGGACATCCCTATAGAAGGTGTGGAGTTTATGGGCCCAAACAGAGAGAAACCAGACAGCTGATGGCCTGATGTTCACATGAACGTGTTTTATTCTTTGCTTTACATGAGCGAGGACAGATCGTGTTGCATCATCAGACACAAAGACTGCATCGCTGACTCTGATGGACACGTGTGTTTGACACTGTACATTGCTTGTTCAATTATTAAATAGGGATTATTTGAGCTGTCGAGGCTTTTTAAACATGCAAGGAAATGCATGTGTGCATTAAAATGAAACCAGTTGTGTTTGGTCTGCAGACTGTCTTTAATGTGCCTCAGAAAATGGTTGTTAATGCATGTGCATTATTTTGTAACTTAAATTATTATTTTAAACGCAAGCCAACAATTATTTCACTACTGTCTTTAAGGCCATTTTGTTTTAGGAGGGGGGGAAGTGTAATTGTATTTAAATAATTAAAGAATATACATTGACTTCTTCAGGTAGTGATGCATCATGGGAGAAACGAAGCGTTGATTCAAGGAAAAAAGTATTCACTGCGTCAAAGCTTTTGAAACTGTAAATGCAACGAAAACATGAATGGAAGCACGTATTACAAACTAATTGCAAATTTTTAATCAAAGTGTATTTATTAATATTGTTAAATATACAAAGTCTGTATAATGTGTCGTTTTATTACTGTAGTCTTGTTTTTGGTTTATGGAGAGCTTGGTTCAGGCCAATATGGGACTAATTAAATGTCTACAAATTTATATAACCGATTAGATGAGAATCCATAAACCATATAGGGTTCATAGATTGAAACTAAGCATCCTTTATTGGACTCACGTGACTCCGTTTGATCGATAGTGCTATATGCGATCTGAATCAATCAATCAGTTCAATATGATTCGCAAATGTTTTTCAAAGCTTCAGAAAGAAACGCGCCTATCAAAATGTAAAGAATAAACCATATTTGCACGGGTTCACTTCAGAGAGATCAATAACCGTTAAAAATATCGAAATGATTATGACATAACATCGTTTACTGGAATCATGCGACTTTGGTAGTTTGATCTGGTTTGATTGAAATCTGAATCAAACACTGATTCGAAACATGTGATTCGCAAAGATTTCGAAGCTTCACAAGACAAACTGCAGTTAAAATAACACGTTTTTATCAGTTTGAACGATTAACAATTAATACATATATTTTAACATGTAACGTTACACCCATTCGCACTGATTCGTACGTGGCGTGGTAAATGGTTTTTGTATTAAATGATTCAACTTATATTTTACATTTAACACAAGATTTGACTAGAAAGTATAGTAGTTTGCATCACTGGAAATAAATGTTGATCTTTTACTATTTATTTACATAGTGAAACAGCTACTTAAATCTTACCTCGCATCACTCTTTCACCGTCGAAGCCGAGCTGAAATTCGCGCGGTTTCTATGAAGAGTGACGGGGAACTAAGCACCGCCTTCTTTGATTTGATTGGTCATCCATCATTTTTTACGTTAATGAGCTCAGTATTTATTTATGATTTATTGAACGTTTATTCCAACAAAATATACATGTAACATTTCGAAATATGCTCAAACGTTTCACATATAATGCTCTAATGAATTCCACAGCATCATAAAAACTTTAATAACATTATTAACATCAGGTACTGATGAACTGAGGATAACATTCATATATATTCAAAGATATTAAAGAAAATATAGATACATATTAGGGAGGAAGAACACAAAATAAATAATAAAGGGTATACGTGTATGCTCAAAATTAATTCTTTGTAAATTAACATGTTTCCTCCATGTTAGTGTAACTACTAACACTTTGTCATAAACAAATCTGTGATGTACAGAATCCAACATATTGTGTTATTTATTGAAGCCTAATTAAATCTGTGGTGTGGTGTCACATCAGTACACTAATGAAAAATATCTATTGGGACTAATTAAAAAAGTCTGATTGTGTTAATTAATAAGCCTGTAATGTGCTTCACTTGTGATCATTTATGAACCCGTGAAATTAAAATGATTAAAGTTTTGGCTCAGATAAGACAAAAAACATTTTACGGTTTAAATTAGCAATTTCTCAAACAATATCAATATCTGAAATATCAAGAGCTCAACATGACAAATAAAATATTAACTGCTATGGACAATAACAGACCCTGAACAGACAACAAACGTAACATTTGATGAATCTTAATTAATGCTCATTTTAACATTTACTGACAATGCCTGTTAACATTGATGCATCATTTTAGTTCATTAAAGTATTACTGATAATTCAAAAAAATTTCATGATCTGTCATTGTTTCTGTTATTCCTGTAAAACGGCACGGCGGTGTGTAAAAATGACTCGCGATACATTGTGGGAGTAAATTTGACTTGATGTTTTAATTGAAAAAAAAAAAAAAATTATGCATACAGTCATCACATGATACAAAACAAACAGAAAAGAAGAAAAAAAAAGTCACAAAGGGGGAAATTCCAGAAAGAAACATTTTAAAAATTCCAGCCTTTTATTCAAATCATAAAAAATATTTATGTTTGTGAAGTAGACCAGATTAATCACACACAGCACGTCTTTAATGCCGCCTCATGTCAATCACAAAGGACAAAACGGGTTATTCATCACAACCGCATCTGTTCTGAAAACACACACGCATTATCATCCACATGAGCATTTACATATTCGCATGAACTGAACGGTGAATAAGGCCATTCGGGTTCCTAAAATGGAATGTAAATTACAAAATTGAGAAAGGATAAGAGGGCGTGACGGCCGAGAAAAGGAGCTGGCGCTCATCGATAGTGGCGTGGCGGCGGGCTATGATGCTGGAGGGGGGGGCGGCGGGAGGGCGGGCTATGGCGGGTCATGTGACGCGGTGGCGATCGGTACCGGGGGGGCGGAGACCCTCTGCTCTGGTACGCGGGAGAGTAGCGTCCGCGAGACCTGGACCGGGAACGCGAGCGACCCCAGCTTGTGCCTCGCTCCTCCATGACTCTGATGTAGGCCGTCTCTCCCTGCACAACAAACAACAGGAACTTTAAATCAGGGGTATTATCGCTAACTTTTAACGTTGTTTATATGAGTGTTGGGGGTTACGCATTACAAGTAATCAACTTTTTGTGATCAACTCTTTATTGTCTTTAGAAAAACAAAAAATCCACTCAAACAAACAGACATTTTCAAAAATTAACAATATGAAATGGCAGCATCAGCTGAAAGGTTTGCTTAAGCGGCGCACCGTACACGCGTAATTTGCATTTCCTTCAGCCTCATTATCACATTTTTTGCCGCTTTACTTTTGCCCAAAAATAGACCTTTTTTGTTATTAAAAAAAGACGCAAAAATGATGTGACATTACTTTTCTTAAAAAGTAACCAAGTAATGCAATTAGTTACTTTATGGGCTATGTGCACAACCGTAGTTTCGAACTTCCGCTTTTGTCAGAAGTCGGCATATCAGTTTCCGGTCTACGACTGGTCATCCGCATCCACTAATAAACAAACGAGATGAGTGCTGCTGTTGTACGAAAAAAAGAGTTCTTAAACACGTCGAAGTTTCTAAGAATTGTTAGTGGATCTAACGTCCGTTTCACACCCGTTTGCAGTGTGTGTTGCGGTGCAGGAGCGTGCTGTTAGTACGTTCACTTATTATGATGCGTTTGCACAGTGGCTGTACAACAAACACATACTTAAAGGGTACATATCATGCTTTTAAATCATTCATTTTTACATATAAATCATACCGTTGTGGTCTATATGACATAACTGCAATGCTTGGGTCTGAATTCCTCATTATTATAACTCCACAGGCCCCTTTTCTGATGTGCGTCTTTGAGCGACCCGTTTTAATGCGTCCCCTTTAAAGGGTCATGAAACCCCCCTCTTTCAGCTCAAGTCTAGCTCAAAATCTTTTTGAAAAATGCAACTGAAATGGGCGTGGCTAGCGGTGAGAAGAAGGGAGGGAGTGGGTGTGGTATGACCATCACTGTCTGTCACTGTCCCATGCATTTCGACTGTCACTAAAAAGCAATGGTAAAACGTGAGACCATTTCACAAGATGTAAACAACACTGGTCCAGAAGCACTTCCTGTTTCAGTTTTTTAACACTACAAAAAAGCTGGGATAAAATACAACCAACAGAACATTTAAAACTGAATCAAAAAGTTAAACAAACATCTTTAAGATGTTTTCTTTACATGTGAAATAAAGAAAACAGTTACAAACTGAAACAGGAAGTGCTTCTGGACCAGTCTTGTTTACATCTTGTGAAATGGTCTACAAAGTTAAAGTCTTATGAAGTACACTGACACTTTATTATCGTCCTTTCAAAAGTAACTGAATGTCCTACTACAAATATTAGCCTACAGTAATCGTAATTCTAATTAAAACATATTAATGTAGGCTACATGTATATTTATAATGTCATTATAAAATATATAGTGGTTTATATAGACACTATAAATACATTTCAGTAAAAAAAAATTATTAATTTCCGCTTAAAAAAATCGTTCCGTGCATAGTCATAGACGGTAAAAGAAAGTGCATAGTCTACGCGCCCTCTGAACCCTCATAATAAATGACTTCTCATTTTACACACACCTCTGAAGGGATAGAAAGTCCTCGGGATACCGCATCACTCGCAAGACGCAACTTGGATTAGTTGTCAACAAGGCGAAGTCCACCATTCTCCACTTGTCGCAGCTCTCTCGCGAAAATGTTCGCGGCACACACTATAGTTTGGATCAGGTTTAGACGTGTCCGTGTTTGATGGCAAACCAACCGTCCAGAGCCAGAGTCGCGGGGAACATATTCAAGGCACTTGGACTTTGCACCATGAAAACAAATAGTTCGCGTCCCATGATTGCCTCTCTCATCTAACGTTACTACGCGATATCACAGTTTGTCATGTCTGTCGTTGGAAAGATCCACGTGGTGTCATGAATAATTAAGAGGCCGTGTCTTCTCATAGGATAAAACCGATGAGTCATCAACGCACTGTGCAGTGCACTGCCACGTCACCCGCTACGATGAAGATTTTAAACCCGGAAGACGAAAAAAGCGGGAAAAAACTCAAATTTAACCATTTTAACCTTATTATTAAATCTAACAGATGCTAACATTGTCTTCAATGGTGTTCAACACACATACCTCTGTTATAATCTCAGAAAATTTAGTTTGGGGTTTCATGACCCTTTAATGTGGGTAACCAAAGAGTTGCTGGTCCCACTAACTTCCAGGAGAGAAAAAAAACTATACACTGGGGACCAGCAACTGTTCGGTTACCCACATCATTCAAAATAATTTTTATTTTCAACAGAAGAAAGAAACTTATTTGGGTTTAAAACATCTTGAGAGAGTAAATTAAGACCATTTTCATTTTTGAGGGAACTATCCCTTTAGTGTTAATAAAACAAAAAAAACACAAGGAGAAAATCACTCACTGACTGAGAACTTTAATAGTAGCTTTAATAAGAATCAATAATTTATTCAGTGAAGTCTATGTAGTGTTTTAATTTCATATTTGTTCATTTAATTACTTTCTTCAATGCTACTGCTAAATACACCTACTGCATCTGAAAAAATAACGCACTATTTATTTAATTTGAATATTAATTTGTGTAATGCCTTATTTTTTTAATAACAAAGAAAATAATGACAAAGATTTTTATCTTCGCCACTGGCCTAAATGTGTGGTTTTCTTTTTTCTTTTGTTACCCAAGGCTTTGTTTATAACATAGGGAAATTAGTTTGGCTGTAATGAACAGCCACTTGCAAAATATTAAAACCAACTCGAAAAAGAATCGTGATAAAAAATCGTGATCGTGATTTTCCTAAAAAAATCGTGATATAATATTTTTGCCATATCGCCCACCCCTAGTCAAGCGGTCATCGGTTAACATCCCTACTTTGGATCTGTGGTTTCCTCACCTGGTGTGATCTGAACTCTGTGCTGTCCAGACGGCGCAGCGCGTACTCCATGTCCTCACGTCTGAGGAACTCAACCACGCCCTCGCCGTCACGCTGCACGTCAGCGAAACACACGTCTCCAGCCTCACGCATGTGGTCTTTGAGGTCCTGCCAGCTGCCAGTGGGAGGAAGACCTGCAGGGAAAGGTTTTTATTATGTTCATCAACCCATCTACAAAACACTTCCAGAGTGCTGTAAACATTTGTGTAATATGCATGTAAACAAATTAACATCTATTTGCAAAAATAAAGTCAAGCATTCACAATCCATTATGATTATCGGTAAATAAACAATATGACATTTCTAAGGTTCTCAGAAGCAGAAGTCATCATAGTGGGGTGAACTTATATAGTGTTTAGGTTTAGGGGTGGATGGCTGACTCATATTTTTGATATTCCTTATATTCTGTGTGGTGGTCAGTTCGTGGCAGTGACAGAAATCATCTTTTTTAAACAACTGAAATCAACAAAATTCATCTTTGCAATGCAGAAGAAACGCAGAAGCTCCTTCTGAAGTGGCATTTAGATGCATTTACACTGTTTAATGGAGCTCAGAGGGACACGGATGCGTTTAACCTGCACTTACACAATGTGAGTAATTAGACATAAAACGCTGAATTTTTAAAATTTTTTAAAAAGACTATTTTAAAATTAAAACCGCCACTAGGAGACAGTGAGTCACTGTAAATGAGTCATTGACATTCAACCGATTCATTAAAACGGCTGATTCATTCAAAAACGACTCTTAATGAATGAGTCATTGAATCATTCATTCAAGTGATTCGTTCATTCAGTAAGGAAACACCTGTATTGTTCAGAGACGCAAAACTGTCCTGTGGTTTTGTTTGGAACTATTTTTGTTGACGAATTGAGGAAGAAAAGGAAATACTGTGTCTAAAATAAGCCACTTAATATAAAAAATTTCTGCATAAAATCATTATCACATTTGTAATCATGCTGATATTTAGAAAAAAAACTACACTCTTCGTTTGACATGGATTAAAGTCCCCCATGCTTAAAATCCAGCGTTTAATTTTGTTTATATGTCTATGTGGTGTTTTTAATCTGCTTTAATACACACATGTGTGCGTTGATAAGTGGACAGCATTGCTGAGTATTTCCTCCTTAAAACTGCAGGGAACCAAAGACAGTCTCAAAAACACGCTTTGAAATCGCTGGTGTTTCTGACGTCACAAACCACCTTGTAACCAATCAGATCAACGTGGATCTCTGAGTGAGTGAGTGGAGGCGGGGCTCATTTGCATATTCATATAACCGTGTATACTAAATGAGGAAAGGGTGTCGAGTTACATTCAAGATATTGTAAGGCATGAAGATTGTTTTGTCCTGAGAAAAAACATTTAAATATGTAATTTTGGTGATCAAAGATGATTTAAGGGGTCAAATTATTGACTACGGGGGACTCTAAAAGACACACAGAGGTAATATCTTGAATATTGAGGGTATTATAAATGCATTTTACTAGAGTAAATCATGCACACTAAATGCACAAGTCTAACCTACTACATAACGTAGTCTGTTTTTGTAAAGTTAAAGACACACTTAATGTCAGATCGCACATCATTAAAGGGATGAAATTAATTTTTAATATGTTTTATCTTACCTCAAGGGCATCCAAGATGTAGGTGTCTTTGCTTCCACAGTATTTTCAATTTTGACATTTTTCAGTCAAACCGTTGTTGTCTATCAGTCATACACTGGAGGCTAAGGGGGTCCACCAAAGAGCAGCACAGAGAAGTCCAAATTAAACATGATTTAATGACTCGTAAATGTAAGTACACACTGATGGCCTAAGACACGAAACGAGCGGTTTGTGTGATAAAACCAACAGTATTTATATCGTTTTTACCTCTTGTAATCATAGCCATGACAAAATGATCTGACGGTACGGGCGCTTCGGTCTGGAAGTGATCGCTTGCGTGTGACGTCACTCTTTGTTTATACAGAGATTTCGGAAGTTTTACCTTTCACTAAACATATTTTGATATACGGGAAACCGCAATGGAAGACGATTTCGGTATATCTAAATATGTTTAGTAAAAGGTAAAACTTCCGAAATCTCCGTGTAAATATTGAGTGACGTCACACGCAAGCGATCACTTCCGGCGTAACATTGAACTGATTCAGTTCGGTTCAGTTCGACATTGAACAACTGATTCAGATCACTTGGATTACACGAGGTAAAAACGCTATAAATACTGTTGGTTTTCTCTCGTTTCGGGTCTTAGGCCATCAATGTGTACTTACATTTACGAGTCATTAAATCATGTTTAATTTGGACTTCTCTGTGCTGCTCTTTGGTGGACCCCCTTAGCCTCCAGTGTATGACTGATAGACAACAACGGTTTGACCTAAAAATGTCAAAATTGAAAATACTGCGGAAACAAAGACACCTACATCTTGGATGCCCTTGAGGTAAGATAAAACATGTCAAAAATTAGTTTCAAAGTGAACTATCCCTTTAAAACAACAATCACAATATTATTGTAGATGAAATTTATCGCACACCCCTAATGTAATGTAGATTTAAGTGAAGGTGCCACAATCTCAAATCTGTTAACTCACCGGTTACAATCACACGAAACTCAGATCTACGTGTCGGGGGCCCAAACCTTCCCCGTGGCCCTCCTCCTCCTCCTCTTCCACCTTCTCCTCCTCCTGAAGGTCCACTAAATTTGGATCCGGAAGAACGAGGGTATTCCACACGCAGCTTACAGTCTCCAAAAGCATATCCATTCCTTCCAAAGACCGCATCCTCGGCATCCCTAGAGGAAGAGAGGAAAGTGCTCCTAATTTTCGTTCTACACTTGAAAAAGCCTCGTCCATGAGCTCTCTGAGGCCGTGCGACTCACCGTGGATCCTCAAATCGCACGAAGGCAAACGGGATGGTGCCTCTGTTGTTCTTCAGCTCAATATCACGAATTTTTCCGTATTTGTAGAAGAGATCCTCAATGTCCCTCTCCTGAACTTCCATGGGAAGGTTTCCAACGTAGATCCGTCCGTCCGACATGGCTTAAACCTCGCTGGACCTGCAGCCTTCGAGGAAAGAGAGCGTTTTTTTTTTTCCGGGTCAGGGTGTTTAAAACATCCAAACTCTAGTCCGTTCTTCTAAAAGCCACTATTTACAACTCTAAACTCTGGTGGAAGCAGTGCATGTCGAGCTCAAGTAACCCAGCAGAGGACCTTCTCCAGGACCACAGTCTGAAAACTTAAAAACACAGGATTATCAGTCAATATCAACGTACATGAGGGTCAGATGAGGAACAAGGGACTGAACGATCAAGCTTCCAATCAACCACAAAATATTTGAATAACGTCTAAGAAGCACATGTGTGCATGATTTAAATGGTGATTTACATCTAGTAGGGAAAATATCATCTCATTTTGACACAGAACACGTTTTAAGCTACAATACATTAGGCCAAGATCTAGAAAAACTACTTTTAATATTTTAAATCTCATTCAACACAAACATTGTAAAACATTTTGTAGTGAGTAGGGCATTATGAGTGACTCTTATGGGCTTTGTACAGAGAAAAAAACTATACAAATATGTGAAACATATAAATATGAGTATGTTCAATAAAGGAGTCAAATGCAAATGACTGGAGGAGCCATGACAGCTGCTAACAGTGCTAACATCTTACATCTCTTATAATGTTGTTAATTCCCCACGCAATTTAAAATATAAACCTAGATTCGTTCATTTATACTAGTTTATATAATAAACACTTAAACTAGGCATAAAATTGTCGTATTTAAGTATTGTTTAGTAACAATACAACACAATGACATTAGCATAATAGCTGCTAGCTCCTTTGTTGAGACCAACTGCTCAGAGCAAAATGACAAAACACGAGCGAATAACGAGGTCTGCCTTTTTCATCGTGCGCGAATGTGTGGAAAAAATAAATATTAGGGGAATTTATAGTTTGATTTACCTTAATAAATTGAAGCTCGTATTAAAAACCCGAGGATAAACAGGCGCACGCGCTTCTCCTCCCCGGATCAGGAAGTGAGAGAATCTAAAACGCGCCAGTTGCCCCCTTCAGGCGGAAACACGCAAGTGCAGGAAACCGCCGAAACCTGTGAATGCGCAGCGACCATGGAGCAGCGACACACTGACAAAACGACAAAACACAAGCACATCTGCGATAAATAAATATATAAATATATTATATATGAATATAAAGTTATTATAGTTAAAATAATAACGTAAAATACTTTTAAATGCCATTCAAGTAACATAAAGTAACGTAACATTTTGTTATAGTTAAAATAAATTAAATGTAGGCTACTGATATTTCAAAATCAAATCAAATCAAATATTATATTTAAAAAAAAAAAATTATAGCTTAAAGAAAAGAAAAGCCAAAACTAAAATAATCTTATTACAGTTAAAATAAAATAAAATAAAATGTTATTATAGGTATACAACTCAAATAAAAATATAATAAAATGAAATGTCATCAAAATGTCATTGGTAAAATAAAATATAGTATAGTTAAAATAAAATAAACTGTTATTATAGTGAACATAAAAACAAAATAGTAAAATGTCATTAAAATGTGTAAAATGTCATATTTAAAATGAAATAAAACTAATTATATATAGCTAAAATAAAATTATATTGTTGCTAAAATAAAATAAAATGTTATTATGGTTAAAATAAAACATTAATAATTATAGCTCAAATGAATAAAATAAAATATTATTATAGTCTAATAACAAAAATATTGGCCTAATGTTATTATTGTTCTGTTAAAATTCAGTTATTTAAAGTATTTAATTAACAATGTTTTGCAAAAAAAAAATCTTAAAGACCAATTAAATCAAATACTTTTGATGTCCAATTAAATCCAATATATTGATAAGTGACAATTCCATTGTCATCAGGGTTATTATAGTTAACAAAAAAAAAAAAATTTGCTGTAACATGCATGTCCTACTAAAATAACAATAATAAATAAATATATTTATTTCTACGTGACACAACATGAGCAGGGTGTGTATTGACCACATCAGACATTTCATCTTTTCAGGGCTTTTCTCATGTGACCTTCCATCGCTCAATACTGACAGTGTATCATTTATAAACATCGAACCAATGCAGAACAAAGAATTGAGAGGTTGTTCTCCTTCAACAGCAGAACCGGTTCATGAGCGCTATAGATGTCCATCCTTTACATTGATGAGCACTGTTATCTCTGTCTTTGGCCGTGAATGTGGTAAAGCAATGCTTCATAAAGGACTGATCAGGTATAAGCGACACTCAAATCTTTGTCTTTTATGACATCATATGGAATGATGACATCATATTAAGAATTATTTTGAATTAAAGCCTTTGAAGATGCATGAAGAGTTGAATGTGTTGTGATGCGTTCTTAATTAACTGCATGTCTGACATGCCTTTCCGAAACTATCATTCAGGAAGAACTTGCATTTACAAGTGTTTTTCATTTACAGATTTTACTGACGTTTTGTCATTCTTAGAGTGAGACTATAATTAGGTTTAACCGCACTAAGGCATTTCATCCATATCACTTGATATAGTTAGTAAATGTTGCTTTTAAGGTGTGTTGGAATGAAATTAAAGGCAAAGGGAACTTTGAAACATGAGTTGTACTTGTAAACACTGGCACACGCCTGTTTGATGTGTAAACACAGAGTAAGAAACACTTTCTGTACAAATACAGTATCTGTTCATACATACAAATCCGAACAACAATGCATATTCTAACAAATGTAGGTAGACAGGTTAACAAAGTGCCTCTCGTTTGCAAACAAAATCAAAACAAGTTATTTACAAGGAGTAAAGATCTGATATCATAGTTGCATAAACACGGAAACCGTCTTAAAAACTAGTCTGACCAACTAGCAATCAGTGAGGAGTGAACTTGTTTTTCGGCTCTAGTAAGACTCAGGTTTATGCAATTGCTCACATGTATAGATAAAGTGATCTCATCTATGATTTCCTTTTAAAGATCCAAGAGAGTTTGGAAGGAGGATGAAGCGAGTGACACCAAAGTTGTTTTTTGGAGCTGTTGTGATTTGCATTATGGGACTCTACTGTATTATTGCTCCAGCTTCCCTGGACACACACAGGTAAGCACACTTTTTACGTTTAGCATATATATAGCAAATAAAAATCATAAGAACTTTTGCAAGTTTAATGTAAAAATAACAACCTAAGCAATGGCAAAAACCACTTTTCTGAGAGAATAAAATATAATAAACACTTGGAAGAACGAACTGCATAAGTCTACACACCCCTAAACTAATATACGTTGAAGCACACTTTGATTTTAAGTCTTACCAGCAGTCCTGATTTACTTGATTTTATTTGCATCACAAAAACCAGCTGTTTTAACAGGAGTGTGTGACTAGACTTGTTTATCCACTGTAATGCATGAGTCAGCAAGAAATCAGATTATGAAATCAGCAAATTGAGAGATCACAGATTGATCGATATTTAAGCGAATATAGCGACTGGATCACCCATATTATGATGATGGTTATCACAGGTGAAAAGCTGATTTTGATATGTGGTTAAAAGTTGTATAGTAATACTGGAAACATCACTGTATTTTACATTCCTGGCAACCACTGCTCGTTTATTGTTAAAGGAGTAGTTCACTTTTAAAAAAACTTTTGCTGATAATTTACTCGCCCCCATGTCATCCAAGATGTCCATGTCTTTCTTCTTCAGTCGACAAGAAATGAAGGTTTTAGATGAAAACATTCCAGGATTTTCTCCATATAATGGACTTCAATGGGAACCAAACGGTTCAAGGTCCAAATGAGAGTTTCAGTGCAAACTGTTCAAAGGGCTTTAAACGATTCCAGACGATGAATAAGGGTCTTATCAAGCGAAACGATCGCTCATTTAAAAAATACATTAAAAAGTTTCAGTTTTAAGCACAAATGCTCGCCTTCCTCTGTTCTGAGATGAGCGTTTGTGACTCTCCTGTTCGAACTCGTTCATCAAAATGAACGAATCTTTTTTCGAGTCATGACTGAAAGGGTCCAAGATAAGACACTTATTCATCGTCTGGAATCGTTTAAAGCCCTTTGAACAGTTTGCACTGAAACTCTCATTTGGACCTTGAACCGTTTGGACCCCATTGAACTCCATTATATGGAGAAAATCCTGGAATGTTTTCATCAAAAAACTTAATTTCTTTTCGACTGAAGAAAGAAAGACATGGACATCTTGGATGACATGGGGCTGAGTAAATTATCAGCAAAAGTTTTTTTTTAAAAAGTGAACTACTCCTTTAATTTAGCACAATATTTTTTTACATTTTATTCATGCCATACACTTAAAAAAAAAAAATTACGGTAAAAAAACTGCAGTTCTGGTTGCCATTTACTGTAAAAATACAATATAGCAATATTTGTGGTTTTACAGCTTTAACTTAACTAATAAAACATTTATTTACCAACCTACTAAAGTACTAATATCTGTTCTGTGCATTTGTAATACACCGACAACCACCAAAATCCCATGGTGAATAAAAACTCAACACAAGCAGCTTTTGCACAAGCTGAGAAGGTCAATACTAATATATAAAAGACACAGTGTCATTCACACAAACGCTAAACACCATCAGCGTAAAACACTAAAGTTATGCGATAAACATTCATTTAACAATATGTAACATAAAAACGTAATGTACACTGATTAGAACACAGGGCATAGTTAGAAATAGTTCAGAAAAAGTACATCACATTTTCGAAGTGTCACACAGGGAATTCAGAGAATGTCAATTTACAGGTTTCACTGTAAATTATACAATGACGTGTTCTGTTTCACTGTCAATTTAACTGTATTTTACTTTTTTTAAAGTAATAATGTAAAAACAGAAAACAGTAACAGTTTACAGTAAAAACTAATTTAAAGTTAGATTACAGTTATTAACCGTATATCATAGTGGAACCTACTGTTAACAGGATTTACCGTATTTGTACAGTTATTCACTGTAAATTTTTAAAAAATTTTATTGTGTATTCCGTCTCAATGTCCGGCACTGGGAAAAAATTATAATGCGGATTACAAGGTGAGTGTCACGAACTGCTAAAGTTGAGGATCCAAATGCAGTTATTATTTAATCCACAACCGTAGTCGAAAACAGGCAAAGGTCATAAACACTGGGTAATCGGTCCAAACAATAAAACACAACACGGGCGAAAGAGTAATCCACGAAACAGGCAAGAAATCCAAAAACCAAGAGACAAAAGAGTGCTTGGGAATTGCAGTGTGACACTAAACAAGACTTCGCAAATAATGAATGAGAAAACCTTATATGGGGTGAGATAATGAGACACAGGTCAATAGACATGAAAATAAATCAGCGACCCCATAGACTTCAACGGAGAAAAGTCAATTAGCAAGCATCACCTCCTGATGGCAGAGCGACTGCAGACTCACACTGATGAGCTTGACGACGACCTGTACATCTTCATCTGTGCCGAGAGGAATCTGAATCATTCCCTTCCGGATCTCACCGAGCGTGAGTGTGAGTAGAGCTGTCCATGAGCAGCAGGAGACACTTTATGACTCTCTATGGGCTTCTCCCTCGACTTTATGCCTCCACGACACGTCCCCCAGATTGACATGAGCTTCTCCGTCTATACGGTAATTTCTCTACTGTGCGACAGATAGTCACGTGATATGATGCAAGCGTTAGCCTATTTTTAAAAAAACGGCATCTAAAGGGCTATAACATATACAAAGTAACGGAGCCTTTTATACTTTGTCGTGTTTCTTTAGAAATAAACAATGGACAACTGAAGTCTTTAAACGCCTCAGATGTAAAGTCAAAGTGACGCCAAAATGAATAGGAGTCAATGGAGTGCTAACAGCAGGAGAAGGCTTGCTAGCCGATGACGGCCCCCGGGGAGACTTCAGTTTCCAGCTTGTGGATTACACACTTGGGTGAATGTGATAATGGATGAAGAGTCCGGGCTGTGAATTATGGGAGATGTAGTTTGTGAGGGAATGACAATAGTCTGATGTGGAGTGCCCTCTAGTGGCTCTCAGGGGCAATCCAGCTGGTGACCGTCACAGTGAGGCATCTTTATTCAAGAACTTTTGACCATTCGGCCAGCAGATTTTAAGAAAAAATATGTTTTTTTTTGTTGTTGTTGTTGTTTTTTAAAACAATTTTTCATTTTTTTGTACAATAAATTGATACATATAAAAAACAGATACATATACATGATAAATCCAGATCAATTTAGTAGTGGTCTCTTAAAGGAGTAGTTCACTTTTAAAAAATCGTTTACTGATAATTTACTCACCCCCATGTCATCCAAGATGTCCACATCTTTCTTTCTTCAGTCGAAAAGAAATGAAGGTTTTTAATGAAAACATTCCTGGATTTTTCTCCATATAATGGACTTCAATGGGGTCCAAACAGTTCAAGATCCAAAAGACAGTTTCAGTGCAGCTTCAAAGGGCTTTAAACGACACCAGACGATGAATAAGGGTCTTATCAAGCGAAACGATCACTCATTTAAAAAATAAATAAAAAAGTTTAAGTGTTATAAGCACAAATGCTCACCTTGCTCTGTTCTGTGATGAGCGTTTGTGACTCTCCTGTTTAACTAGAACCGTTTGGACCCCATTGAAGTCCATTATATGGAGAAAATCCTGGAATGTTTTCATTAAAAACCATTTCTTTTCGACTGAAGAAAGAAAGACATGGACATCTTGGATGCCATGGGGGTGAGTAAAGCATCAGCAAAAGTTTTTTTTTAAAAGTGAACTACTCCTTTAATTTTTTCCCCAAAGCTTTATTTCATTCTATTTAATAAATTACATTTAAAAGGACCATTTTCGCTTCTTCTCCGGAATCGAATCGACATAGTCAACATTTGAAGTGAAAAAGCTCATCAAAAATGTCCTAAGACAAAACCGGGTATTGAACAAAATTCATGTATAACTTTAATGAAAGGGTTTGATCCACTTCACTGTTTAATAATTCAGTGTTTATTTTCAATTTTTGTTGTATATTTTTCAGTGTACCTCTGGCCCAATGTGCACCAAACATTAAAGTGTGGAACAATTCGCAAAGCTTCAGAGAAGATGTGGCCTGTGCGCCTAAAGTGAACCTGATGTTCCTGAAGACCCATAAGACGGGCAGCAGCACTTTAATGAACATTCTCCTCCGCTTTGGAGAAAAGCATCAGCTGAAGTTCGCCCTCCCAGACAGCCGTAATGACTTCTCCTACCCATCCAGCTTCTTTCGAACTCAAGTGAAGAGCTACCAGCCGGGCACGTGCTATAACATCGTGTGCAATCACATGCGCTTCAATGCGCCCGAGGTGAAGAAGCTACTCCCGGCGGACACAGTCTTCTTCACCATCATACGAGATCCCGCAGAGCTTTTTGAGTCAACGTTTCACTACTTCAAAGCTTACATACCCCAAACATGGAGAATACCTGGAGAAAACCAATTGAAAGAGTTCCTCGCCCATCCAAACCGCTACTTCAACCCAAAGGGAATCAACGCCTTTTACCTCAAGAACCTACAGTTTTTTGACTTTGGCTTCGAGAACGATTTGGATGCTGGAGATCCAAGAGTTCAACGAGGGATTGAGTACGTCGAAAAGCATTTTCAGTATGTTTTAATACTGGAGCACTTTGAGGAGTCGCTCATTCTGCTAAAAGAAGCTCTATGTTGGCAAATGGATGACTTGTTGTTTTTTAGGATTAATGCTCGAAACGCCACGTCTGTAGCTCTCATGAGCCCGGAGATGAAGACTCAAGCTCGGCAATGGAGCAGCGCCGACTGGCAGCTTTATCGGCATTTTAACGCCACTTTCTGGGCCCGTGTGGAGGCGTACGGCCGGAGCCGAATGGAGGAGCATGTGAAGGAGCTACGCAGGAGAAACGCAGAGATGGAGGCCATTTGCATTGATGGAGGGCGAGCCGTGGAGGCGAAGGACATCACAGACAGACACATGAAACCCTGGCAGCCCATTGGAAAAGCTTCCATATTAGGATTCAACCTGAGGACCGATATTGACCAGCAGTACCAAGAGCTCTGCCGGAAAATGCTGACACCTGAGATCCAGTATCTGACTGATTTAGGAGTCAATCTATGGATCACTAGATTATGGGGCTGGTTTAAGGATGGTATTATTCAGTTTGGGATGAGTTCATGAATTCATATAGTTTATGTAATTATTCATTCTCACTGTTCCATATTTAGTAGCTATAAGTGTTAATTTGTTGGTCGTTTCATTTTAAATTATTATTATTATTATACTAAAAAATACAAGTAATACTGCATAATTACTAGCATCAACAGTGTCATTAGATTAGCTACTTAATTCCTTTCTAAATCGCAGTTTAACAATACTAGGATAGATGTGAAACTGCTCTTTTAATTCTTTCAAATAAATAATTAAATATTTTAATAACTGACCAAGTTATTTAAATGGAGAAGGTTACATTAAAAACTTACGATTTAACATTGGACATTACATTTTTATGTTAAATCCACAATTGTTAGAATTGTAGTACAATCTCTAGTATTTAAAGTACCTTTAACCCGCGGGAAAAAAAATCAACCCGCGGCAAAATTTTAAAAGTAGCGAATTTGAGCCGATTTTAGACCATTGTTTTCATTTGTAACGCGTCACCTAGCAACGAGGCACGTGTTTGTTTAGACAGGTGTCCTGCAAAATAAACGGATTTCTCCTCATGAAGCTCAGCCTCACTCACAAGTTGAGATCTTTAGTTAATTTTGATTAACTAAATATATACCTAAACTGAAAAGTGTTATTATATTAATGCCATTTTATTGACTTGTTATTGCTTTCTAGCACAGTATTTTCACATGATTACTGCAGCACAATTATTATTTTTTACAAATTCAACTCACACCTAATTTTATAGCCTCAACTAGTATTTATATTTACATGTATTTACATTTACAGCCTCAACGGATTTACATCTAAATTCATTTTGTATATGATTCCACCGACACTTCGTGTACTGTTTTAATAAACCAATGCAAAACAATAAGCTGTCCTCTCCTTCTTCTTCACATTGAGAAATTAGAGATTTTATGGACCTATTTTGGGACATAATGTTTTAATGCCATCGTATAATATTGTTTCAATCGGCTATTCATTGTTTCGCACTTTTAATAAAGAGTTTTATTCATAAACAAGTTAAATGTCTGTTTCAAAACAAGAGTCACGCTCAACGGTCTTTTCAGGCGTTGGCCAATCGAATTCAAGCACATGTTCATTGCTGGTCTGTCATTGGACAGCAGCGCGTCCTCCAAATGGGCGGGGCTTCTCGTCTTGTACACTTTCCTTCTTATTTTGTCTAAATAATAATGCTCATATTTTAGCGTCTCACTATTTATGTTAATTCAACAATCTCTAATAATATTAAACATTATTATTATTTTGATCTAAATTATAGATTGATAATCACTGCTGCTGAAGAGACGCGTGGTCAGGTATCTGTTACTTTTCACCGCGATGGTCATAATGGATCAATCACATCCGTGCTTGATAAAGATTTTTACATCGTATTTTACTGAACTTTCACGAGAGGATTTATTTTTTCTTTCGAGGCGTATATCAAATAAACATGTAGATTTAAAAGATTATCCTCCATAGAGATCAAAACCCCACAACAATACAAAAAACTCATAAAGGTTTGAAAGCGTCTCAATGAAAGATTCGGCATTCTGGACCACCAAGCGCCCACACACCAACTATGGCAAGCGGTATTGACATTCAGTTCCCAGGATATGCATTTGGATATCAAAATTAAATTGTCACTAGATACAATACTAATTCTTGATATCAGGAATTACTTTCCCACTAGTAAAAAAAAATAAAAATAATTCTTGATATCAATAGGCAGCCATTCGAATTCCGTTGTTGAGATCAAGAATTGATTTCTTGAAATTCCAATTTCACATATCAGAAAAATGTCCGTGTGGTGTGAATGTTTTAATCCGTTAACATGGTGGCGGAAAAAATATGCGCTGCTTACGCTCTGTTTACGCATGTGTTGTGAAACCGGCCTGAGACGGTCTCAGTGAGACCTGTAACGTTAAGTAGCCTATAGCAGTGAGTTGTAGATACTTTTTGACGTGATCGATCCAAGTTCGAATCCACCTTTTGCCAAACTTGTTCTTCTCCCTTTTCCCATTGCATATCAGATTGGAAAAGCATTTATTTTCAATAAATATGAAGAAAATATGTGAAAAGTGGAATTAAAGTGCCTAACGGTTATTTAATAATAAGGTGTTACTGTTTATTGGGTAGGGTTAGGTGTAGGGAGGACTTTATTGTCCCAATAATACGGCATTAATATAATAAATATAATAACATACACTTATCACGTTACTATTGCATACTGTTTTATTATGTACTTAAATACTGAGGTGCAAATAGTACCTACTATTAACCCTTTCACGCGTACGATCACACCGGTGTGATCAGTCTTGGCTGGTCCCTGGAGCGTACGATCACACCGGTGTGATTAGAACGTTCAGTGCACACGTCAGCAACTGCTAAATTCAAACTTGCTCTCGCGCGTTGGCTGGCGCTCAGCCAGAGACAGACGCACTCAGTGCTGTCATATATCACAACTATTGAGTGTTTTCAACCACATAATGTTTATTTTAGGTTTCAGACATTTAAATACACATATGTACTACTAGCAAAACAATGATTTTGAGTTTGTAAAATGCACACAGATGTCTATGGAAGCGGCAATAATAATCCTTTCAATTATAATAACGACACGTTTTATTCATATCAGATACACATTGTGTAAGTAGCTTAACATTTGATCCTATTCTTCTCCCAGTTCACCAGCCACTTACTATCATGTATTTCGTGAGAAGTTGATGAATTGACGTTATAAATCCAACAGATCCGATTCTCTGAACTGAAAACGAAACTAAAATGGCGCCGCCCGTTGTGCATACAGCTCAACTAACGCGATCGTTATAAAGATGTCTAAACAACAAAACCCATCCACTTGCACATATTTGACAATCGGAATATCAGTGTTTCATGATATAGCTAATACATTTTTGAATATTTTTAATAAAAAAGGAAAAATGACATAAAAGCAGATCGTCATTCATTCCGCGCTCTGTTCTGGTTGTGCTGTGTCACGTGACAAGCAATGACGCGTCACCATGGAAACATTAAAGTGGCAAGTTCTAAATAACGGTCGCCTTGAAAAACTCACGCTGGGGGGTCAGTTAGAATATTTTAAACTTACGTGTGAAAGGGTTAACACTTATTGCAAAGAAAATACTGCTATTTTTACATAGTGTAAATAGCATCTATGGCTAAGAAAATGTGCTATTTTCAGTTGGTGTAAATAGCATCTATTAACCACTGACATAATTTAAAATGTAATATTTTCGGATATTATTAGGTTGTGGTATTTTTATAGCATGTTAAAGTTATCCTTTTTTGAGGGTGAGCAAAAACACGTTGTTTTGTAGGTCCCTTTAAATGCAAATAAGCTGCTGCTCCCGGCACAGAGGGCGGGGCTTTAAGTGCTTGTGTGTTCTCAACATGGACATGGATGGACTCACCCCCTTTCTTGCGCGGCGGCGGGGTTTATGTCAATTTTAGGGATAGTGATGTCACTTACCCGGGATGAAGCTTGTGTAGACCCTGCAGCCGTTTGTTGTAGTCATTAATAAACAATTTATTTAAAAGCAAATACCCCCCCCCCCCCTTTAATATGTATTAAAGTAATATTGTACTATTAATATGTATATTGTATTGTATAATACTAAAGTTCGTTGGTTAAATAAAAAAAGAAATCATTTATTTCCTGGGAATGAATAAAAGTCTAAACGGCTTGCCATATATACACCAAGATCCTTTGTGTCTCATCAGATAACTTTAACCGACCAATCAATGGCGCCGCACGCACGCGCAGGGGGCGGAGCCTCCCAGACCCCGCCCATCGCCGGGTAATCAACGGTCCGTCTGAACCGAACTGCAGTGCAGAGCCGGAATGGGGGGGCTTGGCCCCTGTCCAACACGGTCAAAATTAGCTCTCTGTTGAAATACATGCAGTCAGCCATTGGAAGCGACTGAGTTCCAGTCCTGCAGCCTTGTATGGGGTGTCAGATCCCCGCAAGGCTGCTGCTCGGGTCTGCCTTCATCCACTGACGTCTTTTCCAGCAGCAACTTACAGTGAAAGGACAAGAACAAAGGCTTTATCTGTAAGTAAACCTTCACACATTCGCCAAAAGTTCAAAAACGAAGAATAATCTGGTCTTCTTTAACGCTAGTTAGCTATTCTTCTAGTACTGAATATAATGTATGAAAATTGTGTTTATCTGGACTATATTGTGTTTATAGTCCAAAACATGCTTAGACTGTATCCAGCTCACAAAAAGCAGGACAGATGGGAATAAAATCGAACAAACGGGAATAACGAAAGTGCCGTTAATATCGCATCGCCTCCTTTGTTCTGTCTGCCGTTGCTGAATAGGAAAGTCTAAACTTGATTTACTAGATTAATAAACGACAGAAAAGACAGTCAAAGACCAGCTGCAGCTCAATAACTGAATGTACTAATGTTTTTTGTACCCAGACACGGACTGACTGTATCCCCCCAGTCTGCCACCTACACACACATACCACATACACACACTCAGCTATAAAGCATTGCTGCTGATTATTAGAAACGTTTAAATGTTTCACAGTTGTGTGGGTTTAAACCTGTTTTCAGTATCATCAGCACTTCCAAGGGAAAAACCCCACAGCATTGCAGCCTCTCGATGCCAAACTCGTTTCTTAGTTCATGTTAGGACAAGGGTGTCTTGTTATTTGCCACCATTTTCACCTCATTCAGCAGAGCTATACCAGAATGCCTTGTGCTCAAAGCAGGAATACCACATATCTGTGACGGTCTAGGGAGCTCCAAAGCTGTTGCATGCACAGCACTGTCCTAAATTTAGACTCAAAGATGAAGTCATGCATACGGGCATTGTCGGTAGACGTGTCTCCTTTTGCTGTTATGCTTATTCCAGCATCATGCAA